AACAAAGATAGCACTATTAAACCCGTGCTGGATTGTAAAAATTATATAGTACTACAAATAAACTAGGCTAAACTCTATGCTAGTCATTTATTTCTATATCCAGGATATAAAAATGTTAAAAACCATCTGGTCTTGAAGTAGAGCTCCAAGTGTCGAAACTTCTGTATGCTATCCAAAGCCTGTCGGCAAACCTTCTGCAATGTTTCAACCTGTATATTCCTAGGCAAAGTTAACGAGCTGTTGTCCGTCGATCCACGTTGGTGAATCGGGCACTCTTGGTGTAACTACCGCAACCTCTTGAGGAAAAAGTATTTTACACTATAACCCAAAGCATACACATACACGTGTATGTATATTTCCTTTTTTGACAACGATTGTTGTTGTCGATCCTTTGATAGGGGTACGCCGTTTTTCTTACTTTTTGGAGAAATTTCATAAAGGCCAAGAAAGTGGAGTATGGAGAAGGGTTTCGGTTTGCAGGTAACCTTAAACTTCAGTAAAGAACGTATAGAAAACTTGCTTGTTGTTCTTCTTAGACCAACTATCTTTAACTTCGTCAGCAGAAGCAGAGCTTCTATTAAAATTTTTTGCACAAGGGCACCACCTTCTTGCTAGTTATCTTGTATAAAAACACTTTTAACTTGCATGCTGAATATATAGAGGAGTCTAGAGAAAGAATACGACAAGCCTTGACCTCTGTAAAAACCATTATTTGTAGTTGTCTCTTCTACTTTTCTCTAACAAGTTTCTGTTTTCATTAGCTGTAAGTTTGGTATGAGTGATCATTGGAAAGAGTTGAGTGATTTATTATTGTTATTTAATAAAATATTAATTTATTAATATTGCAAATAATTTACATAATTATAAATAATTTTTATTTAATTAGAAACCTATTAGAAAATGTAAAAATAATTTGAAGGATTCTGAAAAGGTTTGATAATTTAATATAATTTAAAAAAAATTAATATAATTTAATATTTATAAATTATTTTAGACAAATAAAAGATCAAGAGTTAGTAAGTAATAAAAGAATATCAAAATTAGTCAAATTAATTTATTACGTTTCGTAATTGCTAAATAATTTTAACATATCCAAATTAGTGCAAATAGATTTGAATGAAGATAAAGAAGGTGAAAAAAAACCAGAAGAAAATAATTATAAATTCATATCTTCAGTTTTTTATCCTTGGGTGATGATAATGATTTAAAAAAAGATACAAATAATAATAAAGAAAATATAGATAATGATGAGTAAAAGTATTTTTTGTTTGTTTTTTTTATATATAAATAATACTGCTGTTTTTTCTTTTATTTTTTATATATTTTTTTAACATAAGATTAATTGGCTTTTTTTATATATATATATTTAAAAATTTTAAATAAAAAAATAATATAGTTTAAGCTATAAAATTTATATTATTTATTTATTTGAATAAATTATTTTTAGTTATTTTTTTTTTCTTCAGCAATCCTATTTACTTTATTATAGAAACAGACTTTCATTCTTATATCAGCACAAGAAATCTAAATCTATAAGTCTTCTAACCAAAATGTAAACTCACTCACAGCATATCTCGCAGATGCTATAATATCCTCTTGCAGTCAGAACGAACTATTAAACTACTGTGTTTTGCCCAGATGCAATCTATCTAACGAATAATTAACCTCCTCCAGAGATCTGAAACTCACTTCAGATTTATTTCCCTAGATTTCTCGGCTAGCTGTTATGCCACTCTATCAAGATTAGGCAAAAACTTCTAATTATACAAAGTCATGATCTACTATTAAGTATAAGAGTCTTGACAAGAAATTTAAAACTAAAATAAAATGCACTATAACTTGTGCTAGAGGCTAAAAATTATATACAGGTAACTAGAGGATGTTTGTATATCTCTCTTCACTTTGCTTTACTCTTTTAATTAAATCTATATCTTTATTCGAAAGTATAAAGAATTTTAAAATCTCTACATGCTCTATCTAATGATCACATATTTGTATATTCTCAACAACATGACACATAAGGTATTCTTCCAAACACTTATCCAGTTACTAAATTCACCAGCACCATCCATTTACATGTATTGTTTGTCATCATGCAGAGTTTCCTGATATAGAAGTAGTAAATATTGCTGATCTTTTGGAAGGAATATGTCAAATTCTCTACTTTTTGTCAAAAATTATAGCCAAAAGTATCGAAGAAAAAAATACTATATTCAAGATAATGAAAGTGTTCTAGTTGTTTTTCGTAAAACTAAAAAGCTTTAGACACTTGAGTTAGGAGTTGTTTACCACTACTGTTACCAAAATAACCTTTTTGGCTTGGATGCCGAATGTGTAAGAAAGTCTACCAAGAAGAAAAGCTTGACTCAGAACACAAACTAACTATATATGTCTGCTCCTTGGTGTTTACATATAAGTCTTTGTCGACAACAGTATTAATAAGAAACCTCAAGTATTTTTAGACTTTTTAGAGCTTTAAATCTTCAAACTGTTTTGATGCGATCTTGGTTCAAATAATCGTTGAAAAGAGTTGTGTTTTTTAGTTATTAAATTCAGTATAATTCAAAATAATTTAAAAACAAAAAAATATAATATGAATATATTTCAATTTAAATAATTTTGATAAATTTGAATAGATTCGTATTTTTCAAATTATAATTTACTATTTCATTTATTTTATAAAGTTTTTTTAATATTATTTAGTTAAGTAGCAAATTTTGCATATTTCAAATAAATTCGAATTAGTTTGAATTGCATCAAAATATTTCATAATAAATTTTATAATATTTTGTAATATATTTTATAATATTTTGTAATATATTTTGTAATATTTCATAATTAAAAATTTTGAAATATTTCACATCAATCATAATTATTGTGGAATTTTTCAGACATAATAACTTTTGTAAGATTACATTTATATATTTTGCTGATGTAAAATTTAAAAACCAATTATATAAATTTGTATTGTATAACAAACGTTCTATAGAATAAATAGGCAAACTTCACAAACTTCGCAACTCCACTATTAAAAAATTAATGATTACTAATCATTAGCAAAGCTTATTTCTTATATTGCCCACCTATTCTATAAAATATCCTAAATAACTTTAATACAACCTTTTTTTTATAATAATAAATTTTTATAAGTCTTTACTTCGATTAAACCTTGCATCAAAAAGTGTGCCAACTTAGTGAAGTGGTTAAGTTGTTACACTTCTACGTTATGTTGACAAGATAGAGGTTCGAAAACTACTAGTGACAAATTTCAATGATCAGTTGAAACAAGATCTTTGTAATTTTGGTAGCACTAAAAAGATTAAAAAATTATGAGGCATTTGTATAATATATAAGATACACTATATAGATGGCATGAGTATAAACGAAAATGAATTTCCGCTTATAAACTTAGAACTAATTTATACCCGCGATCTTGATATAATGACCAGAGATATACATTTTCTATAGAATTTGCAAAATATTTAAATTATTTCAAGGCAGATATTGTGTGGTAAGTTTGAAAAACTCAAATTTTCTACCACTAAAAACCAGTAGTAGCGAGACAACACATGTATTACCATATTAATAGATTTATAACATATTTATTTATATCGTCAGAAATAAGAAAATACAAATAAGAAAAATTTTTGTGGAATCTATAAATTTTAGCATTGAAAAGAACTTAATAGTTGCCATTTCGAATAATGATAGCCAGATTTTTCACTGTAAAGGAAAGAACCTAGGAAGTGGAATAAAGCAAAGCAACGAAGACTGATAGAGACGAGTAAAGTAAAATACGGTGTTAAAAATAAGAAATTTAATTGATCATTTGGTACATGAAAGAATATAAGTATATTAGAAAGCAACATTGTTTAGTTACGCAAATATACTTCAAAAGATTATGTTCAATCATCTTTCATATCCCTACAAATTAGATGCAAAAAAAACAAAAAAAATATATATATATATTAGCCATTTTGTCTTAAGAAATTCTAAGAAGTTTTAATAAGATTTACTTGTCATCGTCGTGGGCACGCTCTCGTTCACCACTTCTGGATCGGCTTCTTTTAGGGCTGCGGGAATCCTCACGTCCGCGGCGAGGCGAAGGAGAGCGAGAGCTATGATCTTTGCCATTAGGAGGTGGGGTCTTAGACCTTGAGCGAGAACGGCGAGAGCTTCGACGTGGAGAGCGTGAAGGAGATCGGCGAGAACTACGACGGGGAGATCTGGAACGAGATCTTGAGCGGCGACGACGATCACGGTCACGATCACGATCAGTGTCGTTATCCTATGTTGAATAAAATAGTTAATTTTACCGAAATTTAAGTTTAAATAAACTTTGAAGTTTATATTTACCGGTGCTTCTCGAAGAATAATATGTTTGCCCTTCAATTCAGTATCGTCAAGCTTTCTAATAGCATTTTTCATATCTTCATATGAGGAAAACTCAACCACACTAACGCCAATGAATGAAAATATAACAGAAAATTGTGAACTTTGGTTATCTATGACAAGCCAAATATAAGGTTATAAAACAGTAATTATATGAAAATATACCCTTCCCCATCGCGGTCTTTATGGCAGTCGGCAAATGTTACTTCTCCAGCTTTTCGCATTAGGTCCTTCAAATCCTTTTTTTAAGAATGGTAGAGGAGTAGGGGAAGGAGGTTTTGATTGAGTTATGGTAAACGGACGATATGCTTCAACTATCCTCATGGGCTCTTGTGTAATTTCCATATGCCAAGTACCAATGCCAATGGAAGGAACAAGAGCCGGTAGATCCCAAGAAAAGAAGTACATGGTAATCCAAATAACAGGCCCAAAAAGAAAGCAGAACGAGAGGCAATCAAAAGATACTAAGATGGGCTCCTCTACTCTCTTCCTTCCAGGCATAAGAAACAAAAAATGCAGTCTAGTCTAGCTCATTTCTAAAAGCCGAAAGATGAGTTCGATGGGTATAGCAAATCATGGAAGTCAATGGTGGTCGGTTTCCAGATTTACTCCCTTTGTTTTCTGTCCTTTTTTCCCATGTAGTTTTTTCGAAAAGCTTTGGTACCATTTGAGACTTTTGAGGAATGTATAGAAATATATAATCCAAACAGATTTTCAAAAGAGTAGCCATTAAACGAAATGGTAGACAGAATCCAAAGGCCACATCAAGCAACCATAGGAAAAGGAGAGCTACAACCAAAGCCAATACAATATCAATCTTGTAGAAAACCGGGGCAATAAAGAGTGGTACCAATAGGCCAGCCAAGTAGCTAAAGCTGCAGGCGGCAAATATATGAATTTTTGGAACAAAAGTGCGTACCTGCCAGCTACAACTTGATGACAAATTCTCCACAATCAAACGATATTGAGGATTTCGTTGAGGAGGTGCGAAACGGCTATTGAAAGAATCATAAAATTTACTTGAGTTGTTAAAGACATGAGTTTATGAACAATCAAACTATCCCAAATATTTGTGATGTACCTGCCACGGTCGCGGTCCCGGTCGTCGCGGCGACGATCATCTCTATCTCTGTCTCTATCTCGGCGATCATCTCTGTCTCTGTCTCTACGGTCATCACGATCACGACGCCTACGTTCTCCTCTAGCATATTCAACAATCAGTCTACATTACAAATCAAAAATTAAAATAAAATTACGTTAGTAAAATTCTTTGAAACGCAATTTGGTCTACTTGTCTGAAGTTTGTGACAGAACTTTTAATGGCCGTCAATTTTTCCGAATGAGGAAAATTTGAAAATTTCATTTTAAAATTTGTACTTACTTCTCTCCCATAAAGCTTTTGCCGTTAAAAGTATAGACGACATCATCAGCATCGCGGTGGTCTCTAAACTCAACGAAGCCAAAACCATTCATCAGTTTTATTTCTCTGATGGTGCCGTAGTTACGAAAGAGTTTTTCAACGTCTCGTTCACGGGCGTCCCTAGCAAGACGGCCAATATACACTCTCGTCGCCATTATATTTATCTTTTATATAAAAGCAAGTTAGCGAAGTGGGATGGTTTCTATCTTTTAGGACAAGGATGAATATTGTATAGCTTACAGATAAGAAAAAAAACAATTTATAATGGCTAAATGAATTATATAAATAGCACAGTAAATCTATAAAAGATTTACGAGTTTTTAACGCTGGTGTAACATAATTATACTTTTTTTAACTAAATCACAGTATTAGCACAAATGTTAACCAATCGGATAAGATTTTATCTTACAAAAATCTAATATCGATATCGTATCAGTTAGGGAATATGTAACACAGAAAATGGTAAAACGATAAAAATGATAACTTCTAAGCCCCACATTCTTTTTAAAATTCTGGGAAAATGAAAATAAGTTTTACTTATGAGGTGAAAATATGTACGTAGCTTAGTAAAAAATAATATCAAATGTCAAAATTATTATTAGGCCAAGCAAAGTTAATTTTCTGGTTCTCATAACCCGGCCGGGTCAAATTTTGTTAAAAAGATTTTATATGTGTAATTTTTTGAAAATAAAATTTAAGTCGTTATTTTTAAAAATTTTATAAGAACCAAAAAATCATATATCATCGATTTTTGCTTTATGGTAGCCGGATTATTTTGCCGCATTTTTTTAGTTATAGCGAATAAATAAAGGCGGCTTAAACATTTTATCTTAAATTCATAGAACCTTTACGCACTATAAAGTAGTTTACTTTTATGCACCAATTACAAGTTAAATTAACGTAGATAACAAATCTATGAATTCACGAATTTTAAAAAAGATCTTTAATTGTTAATGCGAATTAAAAAATATGAGTAGCATTATGTAACTAAAATTTATTTTAATAAATACTAAAATAGAGTTCCAATTTGAATCAATCTATCATCTATTGTATCCATATATTATATCCAGATATCTATCCAATTAGAACAGATATCTATATTGATCAAATTATCTAGTACTGTATATATACAGTATATATAAAAAGATCTTGTATATTTTTTTTTAACTAGCCTCTTTGGAGCTAAGGTTTTTTTATTCAAATATTATTGAGTGGGGTTCATGGCTATTAGTCTCAAAGAAATCCTTTACATTAGAGAGTATATACAGCTACATATTTACTTTTAGTGTCTATTTTAAGTAGTTTACTATATTATCAGTTCTATACTAAATGACATATTTGTAATCAAACTACAGTATAGATATTATCTATTTAAATTCTTTATAATGCAACTCTGCTTGTATTACTGGTATATCTTCATTACATTTATTAATCAAGAAGTTTTAGATTCTAATCCATTCTTTTTGAACTAATTTATCTTCAAAATATCATTACTAGAGCTTTCTATATTTACAATTTGGCTAATCTAGACTTTGGTAACTTATATCAAGTCTAAAGACAAATACTTGTAGCATTTTATCTCTACTGCTATTATTTACTTCTGTTTTTATAAAGTTTACTCAAATCTAGTATATACTTTACAGACTATTAATAATACTTTCAGCTATTTTAAACTTTAATTCAGATAGTCTAAAAAGACTATGATCTTCTTTGATTCTTACAGTTAGATCTTTATCTTTCAGTTACTTCTCTGATAGCCTAGTTGGTAGAATGCTTTACTAAATACTTTGGTCTTATTCAGTTTGTTGATTTCTTAAATAATAATTTTTTATATAGTACAGTCATCCTCCCTTATAATCACGCAGTTGGGCACACACCAATTGGGTGATTATAAAGAAGTGTGATTTTATAAAAGGTACCTCCATATAAGCACAAATTATAAAAATGTGATTTATTAGAGGTAGATGCATTACCGTAAATTGCCCATGATACGTAGTACGTAGAAGCTATATTAATTAACCCGATTTTTTTCAAATGTTTAGACTGTATATCGCACACTAGACCCGGTACAGTATTTTTCTACATAGTCTTTATTTTTACTAGACTATATACCAAACTTTCTTAATCAAGGCATGAGAACATAGATCAAGATTTGTATGCCGCATGATCATGAGTTAAAAAAAAAGCTATGTGCAAATGAAATCCCTTTCATTGGCTCAGATAGAATTTGCTGCAACCATTTCGTTGGCGGCCATTTCGTCGACAACCTCTAGCCAACGCTAACTATAAAGCGAGCTAACACTGACACACATCAGACTAATTTATGTCGGCGAAATAGCGGCGAAATTGGTTAATAACTTTCATTTTTCTTTATATGCAATTAAATGTTAATTACGCTAATTCTTTCATATTTCTTAGATAAGTCGAGATTCCAAATAAGGCTTTTAACCTGATTATGGATACTGGGTTATATTGTTTTGGATTCGGCTTATGTCAAGTCTATAGCAGTTCTTACAGACGATAGTATTTAATTGACATTAATAAAATCCACACACCCTAACACTAACCCTGGTTCATTACGATATAGGGTTTTCTCGCTTGAATTTAATACTTTACCCTCAATTATTTAGTAATTAGTATGAAAACGTTGAATTTGATTAAATTGCTTGATTAAGATAAGTCTCAAACTTTCAGTATTTTAACACACCGAAATACTTTATTCCTGAATTTAAAAAAAACAATAACTAAATAACTACTGTAAAATATAAATAAAATAATTCAAGCTGTAAAATATTTATATAGGTATATAAATATCTGTATAAAAATTTTATATCACAATTCGGCATCATAATCTTCCTCATTATTTACTGGTGTAAAAAAATCACTAATAGATGTTTGACACTTAGATTCAATATATTTTCGATTTACTAAGGTCAAGTATTTTCGAAAAATTTTGAGATCTTCAGATTTGAAATTAGCATCAGTTTGTTGTTCAAAAAAACCAATGAACTTATTTAAGCCCATTAGCCCTTCTGAAATAGGAATTTCTGGTTGTTCCTCATCCGAGTTATCAGGATCTCTATTTTCACACTGATTTGCTTCATCCAAAACAATTTCAATAATTTCTGAATTATCGAGTTTCTCCTCGGTTATGATATGCAAATCATTGAGATTTAAGTATGTGTTTAGCTGGTTTCTGATTTCTGGATCTGGATCTTGAAAGGTCAAATCTATCATCAGCACGTCGATATCCTGTTCTTGATGTTCTAATAATGTATCCTGACTGTTAGTAGCGACTTCTATTTCTTCATGAGAAATTGGTGCCAAAATTCCGGTCTTCCTCCAACAATTGACAATTACTGAATTTTCGATATCATCCCAACACTCAGAGACGTAGTATATGGCATCCTTAATATTTAACTTTTTTCTAATTAAAATGAAATATATTAGTATTAAGAATTTATTACATAGGGCCAGGGCCAGTGATTTTCTGTGGTGACAAAATCAAAATTATGTGGTGACAAAATTTAAATTATGTGATGTGATGTGA